GTGTATATCTATATAGAATAGCTAAAGGCTAAAGGCTGGAATGTCTTCATACATAAGCTAATGGCTGTCTACATCGATCAGCTGATGGCTGTCTACATAGACCAGCTTAAACAGCTGACGACTGTATAAATATACCAGCTGATGGCGGTCTATACTGGTCAACTGACTTTACATACCTAATGACTGCCTGTAGAAATGTTTATTTTTTTTAAATCTGCGCTTTGGTAAAGTTTTGAAAAAATATTTTTTTAAAAAATCTACACCTTAGTTATTTATTGAAAATATATATTTTATATTCGTCTTGGTTATGTATTGAAAAAATGTATATTAAAAAATCTACGACATGATTAAGTATTGATTTTTTTCAATCTACGACTTTGATAGACATTAAAAACCCCTTTCCTTCGCCAGACCTTAAAAAAATTTGTTATGCCTTCACATATATTTTTTTTTAAAGTTCTAACCTAAGCTAGACCTTCAAAAATATTTTTTTAAAAAATCACGCGATTACTAAACATTCAAAACTATTTAAAAAAATCCTCACATTCAATAGACCCTAGGTTAGGTTAGGTTTGGGGATGTGTAGTCACTTATGTGGCTGCAGCACTCTGACACCGTCAGGTCCGTTGAAGAAAAGAGATAAGGAGAGATCTATAGGGGAAATAAAGAGAGATGAGAAGCTTGCAAGAAGATATAAGAAGGTAAGTTTGGACTAATGTCGATGGCTATAGAGATCAGACAGAAGATATATTACGTGTCAATGTTGTACTTTCCCAACCGCTTTAGGTATCTAATTATGCTGTAGATTAGAGCAGGTTCAATTGTTGAGAAGCAGCTAAGACTCGGTGGAAAATAAGCACTCACTAGTCTATGCCGCCTGTAAGTCAGGGCTGGACTGTGACACAGGAGATGCTCAATTGTCTCCGTCTCCTCCTCGTCAAAGCAGAGTCTACAGTAATCAATTACATCAAGATCCCATTTACTAGTAAAGACCCTGATATTGCAATGACCAGTAATGATTCCTGTCATTACTCTTATTTCAGCTTTGCTCAGGTTCAACAGTGAGTGTGTCCTTTTAGTAGACAGAGTCGGCCAAATGGATCTTGACACGTTGCATCTAGGTTCGTTGTACCAAAGTTCATAGACTCTTTCGTCGAAGAACGCCTCAAATTTCCGGTAAAGATGACGGTAAAGATGATTTGAACGAGTCATCAATTGCTAGATCTGTGGATTGAGATCCTCGCCTAGCTAGTTCGTCTGCTCTTTCCTTAGCAGACGGTGTCTTGGTACCCAATACAGCCGATAGCTGTAAGTATATTCTTCCAAAGATGTTCTACACTTGAGGACGGCTTCAGATTTGATAGAACAAGATTTGATGGCTTTAAGAGCCGCTTGACTATCCACGAAGATGGGTCACCGGTTCAACGTCCTCTGCATCCAGACTTTTTATCAATTACGCTGCCTTCCAAATCGCAAAGATTTCAGCTTGGAAAACTCTACATTTGCAATCCAGCTTGTAGGTCAACTAAAGGCCTAGCCTTTTAGTAGACGCCTGCCCCTGTACCTTCTAGACCCTAAAAATATATTTATTTTTTAAAGCCATGCCTTGGAGACCTTAAAAGATGTTTTTTTACAAAGTTTACTCTTTTATTAGACCTTAAAAGATATCTTGTTTCCCTTCTGTGATGAAAACACTACAGTTCCAATACAGCTTGTAGGTTAACTCAAGGTCTAGGCTTTCGCAGCAGACGCCTGCCCATGTATCTTCTAGATCCTAAAAATATATTTATTTTTAAATCCATGCCTTCGAGACCTTCAAAAATATTTTTTTTTTACAAAATCAATTCTTTCATTAGACCTTAAAAGATATCTTATTTCCCTTCTGCGATATGTTTTGAATGTATTTTTTGGATGTGTATCAAAGGTCCATTTTTCTTTGTTGATATTCCGACTTTTTCACCAATTTTCTCTTGTCATGATAACGTGTAATTACATACATACCTTATCGTAAATGAATATCCTATACGGTTACCTTACATTTGATAACAACTTTCTACATTTTAATATTGTTACGAATATAACTTTAGATTTAAGTTAATTTAGATTAATTCCGTTAATTTAAGAATTTGAATTGTAACGTAAATTTCTACTACGCAGTTTATTTGAATAACTTCACAACAACAACTACTGTATAGATTTTTCTACATCCTTCCATTTCCTCTTTCATTTTCCATTTTGTTATTGTCGTACAATTCTTGTTAAACGTCATCATTGATGATCGCTTAATTCCTCTTTCTTCGTTACCCCCTCGCCTGTATATGTGTTGTTGTTATTGTTTACTCAATGTAAGATTGTATGTGTGTTTGTTGCATTGGTAGATTGTTCGTGATCTAGGCGTTACCAGATCGTCTAGAAACTTCTGTAGCGACAAGCGAGGCTCATATAAATAGGGGAAATGGAAAGGCAGTGGGTCAGTTGTGAATCAGATCGCGAATTGAGACCGTCGTGTAAAGTAAAGTGCAAAGTAAAGTTGTGTGAATAATCGTAATCAGAACGAACCCGCGTTTTATTTGGTACGAACTGTATCGGGAAATAAAACAACGTCTACACGGGAATAAGTAAAGTCCAAGAACGTAACAATATTTAAATTATCCGGAAGAGAAATGGTCAAGGCATTATAATGATCGTAATGATAAAAAATCGCCCAAAAATAAAAACAAATTTCAAATACTCCAATATAGGTCCATTTTCATTTAAAATTCCGACATTTTCAACAATGTTCTCTTGCATTGATCACGTGTAATCACATACACACATACCTTATCGTCCCATATGGTTACCTTATATTTGATATCAACTTTCTACATATTTCCATATTTAAATTATCTCTACGGAAGAGAAATGGTCAAGGCATCGAAATGATCATAAAGATAAAATACCCGCAGTAAAACAGAAACCAAACGAATTATACCAAAAATTTAAAATACGTCAATATAATTATGACCTGTAGTGATATAGACCGCAGTTAAGATAAAAGCATGTCATATATAGTTTTTATGATGTACACGCTTCTTTAGGTTAAAGATTTTCAGATATTTTAAATTTTTTGAAAGAATAACACCTTGTTCGGACAAGAAGAAATATATGTATATTAAAACTCCCTCCACCTAGTGTAAAAAGTTGCCTATCGCTCGTCTATAAAGACTCCCTCTTCAGCTCGTCAATAAAGACTCCCTCTTCAGCTCGTCTATAAAGACTCGCTCTTCAGCTCGTCTATAAAGACTCGCTCTTCAGCTCGTCTATAAAGACTCGCTCTTCAGCTCGTCTATAAAGACTCGCTCTTCACCTCGTCTATAAAGAATCCCTCTTCAGCTCGTCCATAAAGACTCCCTCTTCAGCTCGTCTATAAAGACTCCCTCTTCAGCTCGTCTATAAAGACTCCCTCTTCAGCTCGTCTATAAAGACTCCCTCTTCAGCTCGTCTATAAAGACTCCCTCTTCAGCTCGTCTACATAGACTCCCTCTTCAGCTCGTCTACATAGACTCCCTCTTCAGCTCGTCTATATAGACTCCCTCTTCAGCTCGTCTATATAGACTCCCTCTTCAGCTCGTCTATATAGACTCCCTCTTCAGCTCGTCTATATAGACTCCCTCTTCAGCTCGTCTATAAAGACTCCCTCTATCGTTCGTCTATAAAGACTCCCTTCAGAGTTCCTCTATAAAGACTCCCTTCAGAGTTCCTCTATATAGACTCCCTTCAGAACTCGTCTATATAGACTCCCTTCAGAGCTCCTCTATAAAGACTCCCTCTATCGCTTGTATATAAAGACTCCCTCTTTCGCTCGTCTATAAAGACACTCTCTATCGCTCGTCTATAAAGACTCCCTCTTCAGCTCGTCTATAAAGACTCCCTTCATCCCCTACAGAGTTCACCTATTTGTACATCCTCCCTGACATAATTCTGTACTCTATAATCCTTGTTTGTTTTTAATTTTAATTATTCACATTTATTTTTCGTTCCGCCAAATTAGAAATATAACTCAATTAACCATTAATATCCAATGGATAGGTTAGTAATATATAGTAAAAATAATAATATATATTATTTATAATAATCATATAAATGTATATAACATATATGTATACTTGTAGTTGTTTATTTGTTTCTGTAATGTATGTGTATATATCTATAATTGCTATTCCAGAGAATGAGGGAAAAAGGTGTACAAAATAAAAAGGGACTAAATCGCCTTTTTAAAAATCAAAAAGTATACGTTTGGCGAAAATAAATTCTATATAGGCATAGGGGAGCCTTTAAATTAATTGATATATATTCAATAATACCAATATTTAATGACCACATCAATATATTTTTAAAAAAGTAATTCTTGTCTTTAAAGAAGTAGAGGTTACCGTTTTTGCATAAATAAATTAAATTTAAATATGAAACCCTTTCAAAATCCGTTTTTAATATATCAAAATATCATATCATAAAGGTCCAAGATACAGATTTTAAGAATATTTTCTAAATATACCTCAAAAGACTTTAAACCCTATTGATTTTCTTTTTAAAATAGCTTCGTAGCATAGATCGATAATTTTCCATGACAAATGTTTTATTCTATACAATACAGGCCTTGATGTTATTATACCATGAGTACAGGTTATATAAATTGTTTATATTTAATGTAACAATATTTTTAGAAAACTATATAATTGAATAAACCCTTTTTTATTTTAAAAATAATTCAGATTTGCTTCCTATCCTTTTAAGACCTCTAATCTCTTTTTGTTTGGTTTTATAAAGGAATAGCAATTATTAGACATACGGTATGTATAGTATAAGAGTGTGTGTGTATATATGTATGTGTGTTTGTGGATGTTATTATTACAAAAAATCATATAGTATATATTTATGAAAATGAGAAGAAGAAGAAATAAAGTAATAACGTAATTCAAGTTATACTAGAGATTTACATACAATAACGACAAATTGTTTTTTCAGTTTTTTTTCTGATTTTTCTTTTAATCTTTTGTTTTAGAGCCTATTCAGCTTCACTATTATCTAACAAAGAAACATTTAATGGAAATCGTCCGCCCGCCTCCCAGGCAGCTTCCCATAAACGACTCCACATTCATCCTACATTCTCATATGACATCGCAGGACGATCGGTACTCATACCCCCAGCAGCTGTGGCGGGGGTTCCGAAAATCGATGGTGGATGATGTTGCGCCTGTTGCTGGTGATGTTGTGATTGCTGTGGCTGTTGGTGGGGATTATGGGCATGATGTTGTTGCTGCTGACCGCCACCGCCGCCACCTCCAGGCTGCTCGCTACGTATTTGCGGCAATGGGAACATTATGCCATGTGTCATTTGTGGATGATGTAGATGTTGCTGTTGTTCATTGGAAGGCGGTGGTGGAGGTGGTTGTTGATGGGCCTGAGTCTGATGCTGCTGTTGATGGGCTGCCTCAACATGTTTTCGCTGTTCGTGCACCTTTTCGGCGGCACTCTCTTCGTATTTCTTTTGCAGCTGAAACAGGGAGTGTGGTATTTGTTGAGGAGCATGCAGCGAGGTCACACTGCTTGAGGCCGCCACGGCTGCTGCGGCGGCTGCTGCTGCAACCTGTTCACGTGAATGTTGCTGGACACGATCAACTTGGGATTGTGGTGAAGGTTCCTTTTCACTTTTATCGTATTTCTTTTGCAGCTGATACATACTGTGCGATAATTGGGTGTGTTGTTGCTGTGGCAGCTGTACCTTTTCATTGGGTGTTGTACTACCCGATGATTTACCCGAACTTGACGACGACTGGGTATGAGTATGATTGGTTTTCTCCTGTTTAATAGGTGATTTTTTCTGATAACGTTTAAGGACTTGTATTAGTTCACTTTTAACATCCAGACGTATATCTTCGGGGACCCTTTTAATCTCTTCATATAACGAAAGTAAGAAAAGCTTATCAGGATCACGACTTTTCCTCTTTTTACTCTTCTTGGGAAAGGCATCTTGCATGAATTGCAGCAGTTTCTCCTCAAAGGCTGCCTCCCGTTGGAAAGCCGCTGTGGCATGATGTTGACGCCGCATCAAATGTGGATGCAGCCCACCTGAAAAAACAGGATGATTAGGCATAATATTTGGCTGTTGTAATGTACCCGTCGAATTTGAATGATCACCATTTTGGCCAGTCATGTGAGCGATATTTCCCTGGGCTCCAAACGGGCCAGCCTGGGTATCGGCATGATTTGAGGAGCCGGGGGCATCATTTGTCTCACCATCATTGGTATGATGATCTTGTTGTTGTTGCTGTTGTTGGGCATGTTGTTGCTGCTGTTGTTGTTCCTTTTGATGTTGCATATGCTGTTGGCCACTGGAAACCGCCGCAGCTGTGAGTATGGCATCACAGAAATGTTCAGGGACATAATCAAAACCGGTTATGAAATTTTCCGGTTTCAATTCACCGTTCATTTCTTCATAGAAATATTCCGTGCCAACTATGTCGATAATGTCATTATCTTCTTGACTCAGTTCGATGCCGGGTGGCGGTGAGCCACCAGCCATTTGGCAACGTTTCAGCTCGGCAAGTTTTTTGCGTGTCGTCAAACGCATATCACGCCAGCACTGTGCACATGAAATGGAATATAAATTATTTAAAATTTTTGATATTGAAAATTGTGTGTTCCACTGACTCACCTTCTTCCATTGTATGATGGTCTTTTTCGGTCCAATTCTATTCAAGGCCTCCTGTATCTTTTCCCAGTACCATTCTTTTTCTTTCTTACCCTCCATGAATTTGGTCTCACGCAGTAGTGTTATGAGCATTTTCTTCTGGGGCTTTGTGACACGATCCTTGAATAAAATATTGAAAACCTTGAATTTAAGAAATCAAAAAAGAAATGGCAACAATTCGGAAAAAAATTTCACACATAACAAAAGTTTTGGAGAATATGCGAACAAGAAATAAATGCATAATTTTTTTATATTTTTTGATCCATTAGAAAAAAAAAGACCTTTTTAAAAAATCTATTAGAAAAAATAATTTAAAAAAAATCCACCCTTTTGGTCTATTATAAAAAATATATTTTAGGAAACATATTTTTTTTTAATCCTCGACTTTTAGTCCCTTAGAAAAATATTTTTAAAAATGCACGCCTTTCGGTCCAAAGGATAAATATTTTTTTTTAATTTGACGAGTTTCAGTCCCTTTGAAAACAACTTAAAAAAATCCACGTTAGTCCGTGAGAAAATATTTCTCAATAAGTGGGCTATTTGAACCCCTATCAAGATATTTTTAAAAGCCCCGTTTTTTAAATCCCTCCCCAACTTTTATAATTTAAAAATGTTTAAAAAATTCGCGCTTATTATTTTTTTTAATCAAGTACTCCCATCTGTTCATTCACAATAATAAAACTGGTCACAATGACACCACTCAGCGCTTGATGGCGCTCTCTTTCCTCTCAACAATGTTGTCAATTATGTGACATATTTTAGCTAATTTTTGGCACTTCAAATGCCGTATAATAATAAACAAACTTAATTTCTTCCTTTTTTAAAAAATTAATTAATTTTTAAAATTTTCCTGCCTTTTAACTAAACCACAACACTCATTAAATCGCTTTTATCTCACATTGTCTCTCTCTCTCTTTCACACATTCCACAACAATGTTGCCACACTAAGCACTTTCAACTTGTTCTGCTTCTTCTTTGTTTAATTTTGTTCACACAACTGAACTGATAACCCCCCTTTACTCTGACGATGAATATCTCACACAAATGTTTTTTTTTAGGCAAAGGGGGTTGGGGGTCGGCAGCATACAAGAACGACGTCGACGACGGAACATTTTCCATTTGCATTTATTTCTTGTTGAAATTCCAAACAAAACATTAATTTTCATTCACTAAACTTACCATTTTGCCAGATTATTATTATTTTCCCGAATGGTACACCGAATTTTTGCACAATTTTCCAATAACGAAAGCAAAGAAATTGTTAATTTTTTTCCAACTTTTCTCACTCGCTCGCTCAGACCAAACACTGCTGCTGATTTTTCTCACTGTTGTTCATTTTCTTGACTTCGACTGACTGTCGTTCTCGTTCGATGTTGGTATTTTTGTGCTATATGCGATGGCTGGCTGGCTGTCGGTGGTGTTGTTGTTGCTATCGTTGTTGTTGTCGTCGTCGTTGTTGTTTGTTGGCGCCGATGTCGGCCGACGTTCACACCCGCCATCTCACTCGCTCACAGCAACAAACACACTCGCCCCAAAACAACAACAATAACACACAGAAACAGAAAACGTCAAGCTTTTGTGTGTTTTGTTTTTTGTGTAGTAGTAGTTGTTCACACATCAAAATTGACCCAGTGGTAAAATTTTTGAGGGCTAAGAAGTTTTTATTAAATAAAGAAAATTTTGGATTTTGCAGTTTTTTTATGAAAATTTCTCGTAAATCGTGATTAAGCAGGACATATTACGGCTTAAGTCTATTTTAAGGCCCGGTCGGGATATTTTTGATATGTTTGCCTTATGTAATCCTAAATACGACGATATATTTTTTATAGGGAAATGAACGTATTTCCGGAGATATGGGGTTCCAAAGTCCTGCAGGGACCCAGTATTTTCTCAGGCCTTTTAAAATTTGCTAAGACAATATGGGCATCAATTTAAAGAGGTTCAAGTTCTGATTACTGAAATGTATCTTTTTATGGAAGATATGAACGTACAAAATTCAGCGGCAATATGGGCTTCAATGAAGCGGGACTGAAGTGCAGATTGCAAATTATCTTATCGAAAAAGTCCATACTTCCTGACATCAGTTCATAGTATTTTTGATCCTGTATTTTTGCATTCCTTTAAAATGCACTAAGGCAATATGGGCATTGATAAAGACCGACTTAAGTACGGAATACATAAATTCAATTATCTCATCAATAAAAGTCCATACTCCCTGTCATTTGTCCATTGGAGAAAGTCTTAAATTTCCAGGCAAGATCCGGTCACCCACAAATACTGCTCTAATTAGAAAAGAGATTCTGTCACGTAGGTGAAATTGGCATCTGCCCATAGTAGAAAGTCTTATGGGCCTCCAACGTTCCGCAGGGACCCTGTATTTTCGCATGCATTTTAAAATTTACTAACGCAATATGGGTATCGATTTAAAGTGGTTGAAGTTCTGATTACAAAACTGTAATTTTCTTTTCGATTAAGTCCATATTTCTCAAGATATGGCACTATACAATTCCGCGGGTACCCTATTAAAATTCTCTAAAGCAATATAGGCATAAATAAAGAGCGACTGAATTTAATTAATTATCTCATCAATAAAAGCCATTTGCCCATAGGAGAAAGTCGGAAATTCACAAGCAAATACCGACAACCCACAAATAGCATTCCATTTAAAAGGAGATTCTGTCGCGTAGCCGGAGTTGGCATCAGTACATAGGCGGAAATAAAGTCTTATGGGCATCCAAATTTCCGCAGGGCCCCTGTATTATATCATGCCTTTTAAAATTTACTATGTAGGTATCAATTTAAAGGGTTCGAAGTTCTGATTACAATTAGTTTTGGACTTTAAAGGTTTTTGTGACGCGACACTTAGTCGAACTTCCGTTTTCTCGGTAGTATCTCTATCCTTCATTGTGAATTCTATCGACCATGCGTTTCCGTACCTTTCGAAGTTCCTCACTACCTTCAGATTCGACCTGACTCTATATAATTTCTTTACGGATATTCTACATATGATTCTATATAATTCTTTAAGGGAAATGTCAGCAAATAGCAATAACTAGGAATTATATCGACCAGGAGTTTCCATACCTTTAGAAGTTCCTCACTACCTTCAGATTCTACCTGATTCTATATAATTCCTTTACGGATATGGGGTTAAAATTTTTGTCAGAAAATTGCCCTCCGATTTATATTCGTCCTCATCGATTAGAGATTGGCATTCTAATATTGGGTGCGAAGTTGAGGAGTTCATTAAAAAATCTAGGCGTCAAAATAGCCTTTAATAGTACAGGTGTCATAGAACGTTATTCTTTAAAAAAATCTGTAACACATTAGAGACTGAAGCTCTGATTTCGGATACGAATCTAAAAATGCCCTTCAAAAAATATATTCTTAAAAAATTAGGTCCGCAGGTATCTAAATATATATATTTTTTTAAATCTGCACTTTATCTTTATTTGTCCTAAGCCTCAGGGAAATCCCTTGAGCATTAGAGGAACCTGCGCTCTTGGTTGCAGATTTTTCTGAGAGGTGGTTTAAAAAATGTTTATAGCTCCGTTCCAGAATCTGTAATAATCTAGAGGCTAAAGCTCTAGGATAAACAGCAGCATAGTCCCCTATAGGAACAGAATTCTGCGCTCTAGGATTCCAAATTTCCAGATAAGTATCCTTAAAGAACATTTTTATAGGTTTGTTTTTGAAATTTTTCTTAGTTCAAGCAGATCAGCTGTTTGCTCATTTTTATAAAGTATTTAAATTGTATTTTATTGATAGTGGCAATTAACAATTGTACATAAATAAATTTAAAAAGAAAATACACAATACAAATCAAGTAACTACAACTAACAATCCTCCTACAACACTATTTACGCCCCAATTTCGGATTAACAGTACGTGTAACAGCTGAAACACCTTCTTCGAATTTGGTGCGGAACAAAACATTGGCATTATTGAACATACCATCCTTCAACGATACAATAATAAATTGTGATGCTGTGAAATGTTTCTTCAACATGTTGCCAATATTTTGGGTGTGAGACATATCCAAAGCAGCATCGACCTCATCCAAAATATACAACGGGGCAGGAGAGAATTTCAACATAGCCAAAACTAAAGATAAGGCAACCAATGATCGCTGACCACCCGATAATTCTCCCAGAGATTCTTTCCATACGCCATTGAAGCCAACTTTAATTTCCAAACCCGCCAAATGGCCATTTTGTTTGACCGGATTCAAACGTGCCTGGGCACCCTGTAGTAAGGTGCTAAAAATACTGCTGAAATTTTCATCTACCACACGCCATGCCTTCTCCACCTTCTCCCGTTTCTTTTCATCCATTTTACAGATAATGTGTTTAATCTTTTCCTTATCCTCTTCAACGATTTTCTTACGACGCATTGTCTCTTGATATTGTTCCTCTTCACGTTCCAGCAAGACCATAGCCTTGAGATTAATGTGCCGTTCCATTTTCTCTTTTTGTTCAATGAGGGAGGTTAGTTTTTCGCCAGCCTCTACGGGATTTTCTTTTGAATAATCATAACGGGTATTTTTGGTACCAAAGAATTCTTTGTCCTCCGCTATCCATGAATATTTACTTTCAAGATTTTCCAATTTCTTGGTGGAATCTTTGCTGTCGGAACGTACTTTGTTAACTTCATTTTCACGTTTCTTGATTTCCAGAGTTAACTCTTGATTGTGTTTTTCCAATTTATCCCTCTTTACGTACATATTTTTAAGTTCTTTATTCTGGGAGGAGATTTTTTCTTTTTGCTCTTTGATGCGTCGCCTAAGCTGGGCCACTGTTTCGGCAGCTTCTTTTGATTTGGCACGCATTTCTTCTAGGCCCTCCTTGAGGCTGACAATATTTGCCTCTAATGTGGTACGCTGTTCCTTGCCATTGGTAATGTCCTTTTGCAGAGCCTCAATTTCCATTTGCAGCGTTTCATAACCCTGTTCATGTTTCTTCCAATTGGCACTGGACTTTTCTGCTTTGATTTTGGCATGTTTCATTGCCTCCGTGGCGGCCTTTAGTTCGCGTTCACGGAAACCCTTGGCATCGGCTAATTTGGCTTCAATATCCTTGGCCTTTGCCTGTGAGGTTTTCTGGGTTTCTCGTGCCTGTATAAGATCTTCTTCTAGAGATTTTATACGCTCTTTTAGGGATAATATTTCTTCTTGATGTTGTTGGAATGTGGTTTGACCCAAACGTTGTTTGCATGCATTTATTTCATGTTGTCTTAGCTCTAGACTTTCTTTTAGTTTATTATAGGTTCGGGCTTTATTCTCGACTGCATTTAATTCTCTATCGATGTGTTGCATTTCTTCTTTACGTGCCTTTATTTCTCGTTCCAAACGTTTAATTTCGGCTAGCTCTTGAAGAATGTTACCACCTCGAGGTGCAGAACCACCAGACAATGTACCCTCAGGATCAACAACATCACCTTCTAGGGTCACGGAACGGCAGCGTACTTCACGATGATAGGTTACCTACAAGAAAATGTGAATTTTTAATAAATAAAAAAATAGAAATATTCTTTGAGATTCTCTTACCTGTTTGGCCACATTCAAATCGCGACATATTAGCGTATGCCCGAATACAAATTTCATAACTGGATCAAAGTAATGATCATAACGTATCAAATTCAATGCCGAATCGACATTTTCTTTTCCACCAATCCGTTGAGCAGCCTCAACAACTTTTTGGCTAATGGGGTGGGAAGAGATTTTATTGATGGGTATAATGGTGACACGCTGCTGCAGTTGACCCTTTTGTAAGATCTTCTTGCTGGTAATGTCATCGTCGGTAACATAACTATACAACTGTAAGGATTAAACAAAATAGAAATAATTTCAACTTGGAAATTGAGGTAGTCCTCCTCCATGAGGAAGGAAACAATCACTCTAAGCTGGTACTTCATGAAAAATGTCGTCTAAGAACATCGTTACTCTGAAAGTGCTCTTTGAAAATATTTTTTTTGAAAAATCTAGGATCTGCAGGTCCTATTATTTCAAAAATTTACGATTTGCAGTTCCTACAGCACCTCTAAAATACAATCTTTAAAAATCCAATAATCTGCAGGCAATTATAAAAATATGCCTTTGACAAATCTAGATAGCAGTTCCTACAGGACCTGGTAGTGCTCTTAGAAACTATTTTATTTTAAAAATCTAGTATCGGCAGGACCTACAGGACCTCTAAAACATATTCTTTAAAATTCCTACAATCTGCAGGCAATTTTACAAATATTCATTAAACAAATCTAGGCTTAGCCGAACCTTCGAGTTCTTCAAAATTTATTTTTAGACAAACTAAAGCTCCGAAGGTCCTTCAAAAAAATGTTTATATCAACTTGGAACATTGTAAAAAATATATTCCCTCCAAAGCAAATTTAAAAATCTACGGTCTGCAGGTTCTACAGGACCTTTAAAAATATTCTTTAGAAATCCTACAATCTGCAGGCAATTTTACAAAAATCCAAAAAATGTTTTCGACAAATTTAAGCATCTGTCATTCAAAAAATATTTTTATATCAACTTGATCCTCTAGGAGCAAATATATATTTAGAAATTTTGAAAAATCTAAACATTTTTTTTTAATTCTAAAAAAATCCTCCAGAAAATATATATTTAGAAATTTTGGTTCATCAGAACCTCTAAAATATATTTTTAAAAAGTCAGGAACTTGATAAAAAATATTTTCGAAGAGCATCTTTCTCTAAAAAATAACCTTAGCAATTTTGTTTAAATTTAATGTAAACAAATCAATGCTCACCGGAAATCATTTTTAAGCTTATCCCTCAAAATTTTCTTATATTATTTAAAAAATATAAGCTGACCCTCAAAATCTCTCTTAAATAAAAATATGTTCACTTACACTTCCCGATGCGGTCATCATCAATGCCAAACAATTACTCTCGTCAATGACATCGAAAAGTTTCCCCACCATACCACGAACTTTGCTACGATCAAATCCTGGCTCTGGATCACGATACTGCAACTCATAACGATAGGCATTACGACGATCTAATTGCTGCTGCAACTGACGTATTTCATTATGTAAAATATTTTTTCGTTCCTGTAAACGTTCAAATGCACCCTCTTCGTAATCAATAGATTGCAACTTTTGTTCCATGCCTTGGATTTCCACAGTAAGATTATCCAACAACTTTTTATCTTTATTATAGGCTGCATCATTCGATTGAGTTTCACTTTCCTTTTGCTTTAGGACATTACGGCAATGACGCAATTCCATATCCGAGGTTTTTATGGTAGTCTGGGCTTCACTCATTGCCTTTTTGGCCTCTGTAAAAAATTAAATAATGTAATATTTATTTGCCAATTTTAAGAATCCCATCCCCTACTTACGCATTAACTGATCCTGCAGCGAAGAAGCCTGACCATCTTCATTTGTGGTCAAACCCTGTGAGACGGCCTCAAATTTCTTTTGGGCCTCTTCATAGGCCAAAGCATCACGCTCATCGGCCTCTTTCAGCCCCTGAAATAGATCCTTTACCTTGGCCATTTCAGCCTCTTTGGCCTTCAGACTTTTCTCATCATCGGCAATACTTTTAAGCAAGGCTTTTAGCTTTTTCTCCTCCTGATCCACTGCACCCTGGCCAGCCTTCAAATTACCCGAAGACTTGCCTTCATGTTGCAACTGCACTTCTAATTCTGTCTCAATTTCTTTCAATTCCCCACCACTTTCGGTATCAATTTTCTGTTGCAATTCCTTAGCTGCCTCTGTCAGCTTTTCACGTTCAGCATCATTATCGACAATATTTTGTTTGGCAGCCTCAATACGGCCATTCAATTTTTCAATATTAGCCTCAATGGTTTTCAAAGCTTCATTATATTTCAACCAACGATATGATATATGGATTCGGGTCAAATAATCAATATCACGGCAGATTTTTTGGAAGTCCATATAGGCAGCACGTTCACGGCGCAGTTTATCCAATTTGGGTTCAACTTCTTCTTGCAGCAAGGTGTTGGTTTCACGCACCTTGGCATCTTTCTTTTCTATCAATTTGGTGGTGGCTTCACGTTTGGTTTCGTACATACTGGTGCCAGCTGCCTCCTCGATCATGGACAAGATCTAAAAGAATATTTGTAATATTTTAAATCCATTGAAAAATTTAATAGTTTCCTTACCTCATGCGGTTTCATATTTAACACCTTGGTGATGCGTCCCTGCATAATCAAAAAATTCGGATTGTTGACATTCAACTGCACGGAGCAAAAGAAATCCGACACCTTTTTGTTCTGCACCAATTTGCCATTGATCAGATATTTATTTTTACCGCCAACAACAATTTGCCGTGTCACCGATATCTCCCGACATTTCTCATAACCCAAAGGACATTGATCGGGATTGGTGTTGTCAAAGATCAATGTCACCGTTGCCTTCGTTACACCAGCCTGACCACTTTTGTAAACCAAATCCTGCAGGGAAGCCGCTCTCACCTGGCCCAAATTCATAATACCCAGGACAAAACAAATTGAATCAAGGATATTCGATTTACCGGTGCCATTAAGGCCGGTAATGGCTGTAAATTCCGGATCAAAGCCATGGATTTCGGTACGACGGCCATAGGATTTGAAGCCATCTATGACCACCGATTTAATATACATGTTGAATGAAGCGTCGAAGCGTTGCTCCTTCCTCTTTGTGTGTGCGTCTGTTTACCGTTGGAGTTTAAAAAATGCTATCACGGAGTGTTTTGTTGTGGAATGACGCGCGAAAGAAGACGCCGATTGTATGCTTCTTTTCTCGCGCCTTTTTCACCAACCGAATTGAAAAACGTTCCATCTGCTAACGAATGGGAGGAGAAGACAAAATGACCGATAAAGATGAAGTCAAAATGGAATACTGGAAAGTTTACGAATGAGGTGGGAGAGAGACCTGAAAGGAAACCGTGTTGTTTACCACAGTCAAAGAACCGAGTCAGTAATGCGTGACGGCGTTGTTATACGCATGTTGACAACGCAAGAAGTAACGAACATCCATTCAAGGTGTGAGAATTTAAAAATTGGCGAAAGAAGAGTAAAAGAAAAATAAAAAAAAAACGTCCATTGTGAAACATATGTTTGGCGCGTAAAGTCAATCACAGTGAAATGATAACCAAAACATAAATGGGTAGACTGTCATTGTTTACTTTGACTAGAATTGTGTAAGGTTTTAACGATTATTTATTAATATTGCAATCTTTAGAAGATGATTAATAGTTCTTGATTGAACATGCCGTATTCGGTGGTTATTTACTACATAAATATTGCATAAATAAAATGTAAAAGAAAGAACAAAATATCAAACATGTCACATGAAATGATAACATACAGAAGATAAAATTGTGTTATCATTTCTAATGAGAGTTTAGAATACAAATAAATAAAGCATACTTTCAGGCGTTTCTTTTGCTACAATGTCAAATGGAAGTGAAAATTGAAATGCAAGTAATGATAACATAACGCGCGGAAGTGGAATAATGAAGAACAACAAAAATGAATAGCGTCCATTAACGAGTACAAAGACAGGAAACATGTGTTTCTGGCGCGTTATTGCAATCACAGTGAAATGGTAACACAAAACAAATGGGTAATCTGTTTACTGTTGTTTACTGCTCAAGTATTTTTTAATAAAGGAATTCTTAGAAAATAAATAAGCAATTCCTTATTGAACATGATTATATAGCATTGAAATATTACTTTAATTTTAAATGGAAGAAGAAAATTATATGTGTCAAGGGAAATGATAACACACAATGTACGTTATCATTTCTAATGATGCTTAGCGTAGTGAAAAATAAAGCATACTTTCAGGCGTTTTCTTATTTTGTTCAATGTTAAATGAAAGTAAATACAATTTAACCTCAATTTGACAATTGTTTTGCACGAAAGGAAGCAATAACTATTTCCAGAATCGTTAGCATTTGATTCTTACCGTTAAATTCAAACATATTCATGTTTTGAGCTTTGATGACGACATAAAAAATATTTTTAAAAATTCAAGCATGTGTGGGCTGTTTTTGGCAGTTAGGAAAATGTCATGTAGCACCATTGGTCCCCCAAAATTAAATCCTGTCTACGTTGACGCTTTTTTGGATCTAAAGGGATAACTTTGAAGAGATAGAAACGAATAAAATATATATTTTATACTATTGTAGGGGGTATTAAAATGGTGATCATTTATTAATGTTTGAGAGAATAGTTTCAAATTACATTTAAAATAAATAGCAATAATATTAGATTAGCATCGCGGTATGGAAAAAGGAATGATTCACCCATGCAAATGTAGAAATTTCCACCCACAAAAATTTCACTTTCTTAATGAAAATATCGAGCTGGCTGTGAAATTGTCTACAGGATACAACGACATAGAAAATATCGAGAGTAATTCAGGGGAGCATTTATAAATGTCTGTCATAATTGTTTAGATATCTCAGAAGTATGGGGTATACCAAGGTATATCTACCTTGGGATATGCAACAATAAAAAATTTTAGATCTTTATAAACAATACAACAAAATTTGTAATTGGATTATGAAAATTAATCTGTTTCCCTAATGGAATCATTTAATAAATTCAATCCAAATCCCGTTTTGGAACTTGCTGCAGCATTTTCAAATGCTTGAATTTCTTTTTCTTGGAATCTTTGACTTAATTTGTTTTCCTACTACCCTTAGATTATCTGAATTCCCCCATAATGTAATTAAAAAAATAGATAAATTCTAGTGTAGTAATTTTCTTAAACAAAAATTTCTTTTATTGGATTATTTTTGCAAATAAGCAAAAAACATACACCACACGACAATAAAATAGGCCATATGATCCTTAACGGTAAGATTTTTGGTAGCGAGCACGGGCACCTGGACCACCGAATTTCTTGGGTTCGCAGCGACGTGGATCGCCAACCAACAAGGTTCTGTCGTATTGGATCAAAATGTCTTTAATTTCCTTCTTGGAAGCTTCATCGACATCTATAACAAAAAAGATCAGAAAAAATCAAATTAACATATGTTGAATACAAAATTAGCACAATAAAAATTGATAGTTAAGTACTTAAAATTAATTTACAATTGTCCTTAGTGCATTTCATTGAGACCAACCCAAATGCGGATTTAGTTTCAAACAAAAATACCCAGCACTTTTGTTATTGCCCAGGTTATTTGAACTCGTTTAAAAGGAATGGTATAGTTTCCAAGCAAACATCTGGCAAGGGCTTATATATATTTTCGACCAATATAGACATATAAATGTGCTTACAACATCACCCAAATTGTTTATGTTAAAAAATCAGCAATTTGGTTGGTAAATGTTTAACCCCTCTATTTCACGGTTTATCTGCCTTTGTTTCTATCTTTCATTGGACACTGATGTATTTATTATTTAAATTGACATCCAACAAAAATCTGGTATGAACAAGGCTCTATTTGAATACTTGATAAATTTTAAAATCGCGAACAATTGTGCTTACAACATCACCCAAATTGTTTATGTTGGAAAAAATCAACTTGGTTGGTAAATGTTTAACCTTTTGTTTACAAAATTAATCTACCTTTGTTTCTATCTTTCATTGGACACTAAAGTATTGTTTAAAAAATGACATCCAACAAAAATCTGGTATGAACAAGGCTCTTTAAAGGATAAAAGTCGCATCTGAGGACCGGTCGCGGATCGTTTTGAAATGTTTACATGGATGCTCTGCATACACCGACATATTTTTTTTTTTCTTGTGGAAGTCCATAGTTCCAGAAAATAATTATATCGTGGTAATCAGGGCACTAAATGATACAAGACCGGTCCCTTAACACGTCTTCGTTCCATTTTGTGCTTTGACTATTTGTTTATATATACAAAAAAATGTGACTAAAACAACACCCAAAATATGTTTGGTATTAGAACACTTTTGGTTGGTAAAATGTTTAGCCATTATTTGATCTGCCTGATAGGTATCTTTCAAGGGAAATTTGATTTTTAATAATTCCAATGAAAATCTGGAACAACAGGCTTGGATGAGTAATATACAAAATTAGTAGCCGATACTTACATTTTTGATAGAAGGCAATCAAAGCCTTGGAGATGGCTTGACGGATAGCATAGATTTGGGCAACATGACCACCACCGTTGACACGGACACGGATATCTACACCAGCGAACTTTTCCTATAACAAAAACAATAAAAACACAGAATTAGTATAAAACCCAATATCAAATATCCAAATTGTTGTTGGAATTCAATTATCAGTTAGGCATAAATTATTTTCATTGGGAAAATCAATTTCGGGATAAGTCTTTATCATCACTGAGAAATACATTCACGATTCACTTCACTGAAAAAAAAAATGTTGATTTGCTTACCTTGCCAAGCAACAACAAAGGTTCTTGCAATTTGTATTGCAAAACTTTGGGTTCAATTTGTTCCAAAGGACGGCCATTGACACGGAGCAGACCACGACCGCGTTTGCAGTAGGCTACAGCGGTGGCAGTTTTCTACAAAAAAAAACACAGAAAAAATCAATTAAACCCCATTCAACATTTAAAAAACCACATGTGATGATGGAAAAAAAACAACAGTAGCACGTTTTGACAAAACACACCACGCACTCCTCAAAAAAATATCACTAAAAATCGCAGTTTGTTCATTCCTCTTATCAAATCACCGCACGCTCTCGCCCATTGCCATCATTTTTTTCTCCTTTCCTTATTATTCAAGCACGTGTGTGTACGATGTGTTGTCTCACAAATCATGGCCATTTTGTTTTTTCCATCAACACTTTTTTGCTACTTACTTTGCGTCCAAAAACTTGAACAGCATGAATAGGTTCCCTGCGCTGTAAAGAAATTTTCCACAAATCAGTTCATTTTTGCCACAATTTCTTTATTTTAAAATTCACTGAAACTCACTTTCTGTTGCATTTTGCTTGGCGACCTAAGTAAAAAAGACCGGAAACACTTGCGTAGCCACTGAACAGTAATTTAACGAAAAAAGTATGAATGTTAGCCGCAAATGATCAACTGTGTTTCGTTCAATTGTGCTGGGTTGTATGGCGACATGTGTAGGGTTGATTTGACACAATAGGGGTATTCACTGCAAGTTTAGTACTATAATAAAATAATTATTTGAGATAATTAAAAAAATAACCATTATTTGAGTTAAATAAATAAAATAATTGACACAATTAATAATTGTACACAAACACACGTACACACACAGAGGAAATTTTGGAGGAATTAAAAAAAGAATAATATAGTAAAAAATGAAAAAAAACGTATTTAAGATCTTCGTGGGCTTTTACAGGAACATTTTGCCAAGTTCTAAAAAAAGCTTTGCTATTTAAAAATAATCACTAGTAGCGGATTTAAAAAAAAATCCTTGTCTTACATTAACAGCCGATTTAAAAAATTCTTTTTAGTATTATTTTTCAGCCGATTCAAGAATGTTTTTTTTAAAACTATTATTTTTTATCAGTTAACCTTCTCTATAAAAGTAGATTTTTTTATAAATCTATTATAACTTTTTATCGAGTTAACCTTCTCTATAAAAATATATTTGACATTTATGTCATAGAATTGACAATTTAAATCCAAATTTAAAAAATTTCATAATCTCAGAGTTTGGATTTATTTTAGAAATTTAAAAAAATTCAATGATCTCAGAGTTTGGATTATTTTAAATATTTAAAAATCAGATAATTCATTCAAGGCTTAGGAATTTCATAAAATTAATTCCTGGTACAACACCTTTGGATTTAGGTTAGGTTTCTGTGTATTGAATTTTGGAATAAAATAAATAAAAATAAGTAAAAACTGTGTAAAGTTCGTTTATGGACGTACATCATAATTTGTGTACACAGAAGAATTTTATTCAAAAATTAACTTTTTTGAAAAATTGTGTGTAAATATGTTTTTCACTCTCCATGAAGCTAATATTATAAATTAATGCCATTTTTTGATTGGATAAAAAGGTCTAACGTCTTCAAACTATCAAAATGGGGCGGAAAATTTTATGATGGCTATGACAAATAAGCAAATATGTGATTTGTTTCCGTAAGAATTTTTACTATTTTTTTCCGATATCATAAAGGTAAAAATTTTCATCGTCCAAAAATCCGGAATGCCGAATTATAGCCAGTTCGTTTGGAAAGTACGCTTAGAAAAATTAAAATAACTGTATTGAAACGGGGCATTTATAGAAGACTTCACCTAAAGATGGGCCGGTATTCATACTTGTTGCAATGCGAACCGTATATATGAAATGATATTCAATCTATCAAAATTAGATCAAAAAGGGGCCGAAATCTGTATCCAAATGTATCCAAATTAGTCTAAGGCTATATAATTAGCGGGGGATTTTATATCCGAATTAGTCTAAGGCTATATAATTAGCGGGGGATTTTATATCCGAATTTGTCTAAGGCTAGATAATTAGCGGGGGATTCTATAACATACTTAACAATCCTGTATTTTTTCGTGTTTGTGCTGTTCCTGAACCTACGAGAATGTAATAGTCTAGAATTTATAATGATTTTATGATATTCAATAGTTTCGGGCGACGTATAAACCCCGAATTGTTATGTAATTATCTGAAACTTTGTAAAATCGCCTTAAAGGGTATGCCACACAAGCCATCAATATAATATGTGCTGTAACATTTCCTTAATTTTTTCGCGTTTTTAGTTTGGGGTTGAAAAAATGTCAAATAAGCCCAACGACTTGTAGCATATGTTTTTTATATTTGACAGAATAAGTCATTACATACATAGTTGTTATTTCAACTCAAGTTGGTCTACTTTTGGTCTATTCCCGTACTGCAAGAATCTACTAGTTTTTACTATTTTTGTCGATATCATAAAGGAAATTTTGTTATCGTAGTAAAAAGTAGTAGATTCTTGCAGTACAGGAACAGACCATTTGTGTCATTGTACCATGATTGTTCGCACAGCAAAATTGTCGTTGGAACGTTTTTAATTTGGAGCCGATGAAAATATCTTGGGTGAGTGTCCCTTTTCAGAAATTCTCCCCATGTCTCTCTCTCACAAATATTCTTTTTAAGCGTTGTACGACACTCCTCATTCGTACATTTTCGTCTTTCAATATTGAGTTTCTTATTTCTCCCCACCAATATTTTCAATTGGAACGTTTTTAACATTTGTGTGACAATGAGAGAGTAACTGCAAAATGAACGACATCATTCATATAAATGAACTATAGGAACTAAAGAAATATCACTTGTTCCGATAGTTCATTTCTCGGAATAGTTCTAATGAATTCAGTTAATACAGCTTTACCTAGTGGTGACAAAAGAAAAAAAATTATTTTCCAAAGCATTTTTGCAATTTAATTTTTTCTTTTTTTTTATTGGAATAAAAGTGCACACAAAATGAAATTAAGTGAACCACCTAATTTGGAAATGGAAGAGGGTGAAATTGTGGATGAATATGAGCTGATTTCATCCGATGAGGAAGCTGGCATGAGGGAGCGTATACGAGAGTTGGAGGAGAAAAATGCTGAAATAGAATATATAACACAGATCTCCAGAAGTTATGGTAAATATATGCAAAGCAAGCTATAAGTTCAACGAACGGAATATTTGATAGATAAGTTATGAATTTTATCTTTTTTGTGTTAATACCCCCTTCATAATTTTTTTCTCTACTTACCCCCCCTTCATTGCAGATATAGAACGTGCTGCACGTATACCCACAGATGTCTCATCCATATCATCGACGGAATTTAAGACACCCAAGAAACGGAAACGCCACAAAAACAAGGAACACAACAAAGTGAAGTGCCGCCATCATCGCCATCATAACAGTGGCAGCAATGCCCATACCCATCGCCATCATTCTACGCAAATAGATAAGAAATCAACCTCCTCAACCTCAAGGTCAAGAAAAACACGTTGTAAACGAAGGGAAAAACTGTTGAAGAAAAAACATGCAAAATATGGATATCGAGATTATGGTGATAAAATCAAATTACCATTGGACTCCCCTGATGATTCTTTGGTATCGGATTTATCCTCAACCCTTTCGGATAGTGAAGATTCCCAACACCTAGATTCGGGAGCTGAAGATATGAATAGAATAGATGATTACTATTATAGGGAAAATATACGTGATACTCTGCGTTTGGCCGTCTCCAGACATAGGAGAAAATCAACGCGACAAACTAAACATAAAAATGGTTTAAAGGAAAAACTAATGCGTAGAGATGAGGTGTTTAGTGAACATGTACATAATGCTCAAAGGGATGATGATGATGAGGAGGAAGTATACATATAGTAGAGGATGTGGATGTTCCACAGCCATTTGAAGAAATTTGCCCGCCACAAAATGTAAATGAAAATATACAAAATGTACCTGAAGATTCTTCCGATTCGTTGGATGAACGAGAATTGCGTCTTATTGCTTTAAAATCGGCCATATTGAAAAAACACATGGAACGTAAGAGACGTAATGCTGAGGCCGCATATTCACCCACAGATTTTGATGAAATCAAATTGCCCGAAGACAAATTGGATGATATAGAGGTAATCGATTTGGATGAGGATGAAGATTCTCAAAATGCCTGTGCCACGATGAGTCCCATTGCATCGCCTCAGTTAATGTTATTGGATGGCCCCGATGATAGTTCACAAATTGATTGTAAACCTGTCGATATGGATATTGCCAATAGTGACAGCGATGAGGATGCTGCCGCCAATGACAATTGTTGGGGTGTCTTGCCAATGACACAACCCATTACATTTCCTCCGTTTCCTCCACCACAAGATATTGGCAATCTCTATGGTTATGGTAATGGTGATTTTTATTTAAATGAATTCCCCCTAAATGCCTCAAATCCACCACCACCTGGTGTGGATGATTATGAAGATGTGAAGCAAACGATTGTACCATTTGATTCAAAATATCAAGACAGCGATGCCCAGGATATGGAATTGGAAAATGAATTTGAACCAATTGAATCATATGCCAGTCAAAATCAAAATATAGAACCTATAACGGTTCGTGAAATGAAACAGGAAATCAAGGAAATGGAAGAAGAAGATATTAACAATAGCAGAAAGAAAGATGAAGATGATCTCCAGGAGGAGGAAGAAGAAATGGCTTTAAGGGCATTACTATTGGCTAAATTTCAATCACCAAAAAATCAAAAGAAATCGGCCTTAGGCGAAGCAAATACAAATTCCAAAGTAGAGTTGAAACCTGCGATAGCAAAACCCACCGAGTCCATCTTAAAGGAGGCAGTCAAACGTCTGCAAATCCATTCACAAATTGAATGTCGCCAGGAGCTGGGATTACATGAGGTTCACGTAAAAAGTGAACGCCCTCTATCCTGTGAACCTTTGCACAAAAAAAATGATATGTCCATTTCATCACAAGATAATTCCAGAGATTCGGAATCTTTGGCCTTGGTAACATTGCAAAGAAAGGCCCAGCTACTCAAGAGCAATTGTGAAAATAGAGATATTTCAAATCATCATGATATCGATGAACGTTATGAAAATAATGGATTTTATGTTTCGAAATTCCATGGCGTAAAGGATAATGAACGCTTTGAAGTTCGAAGAGAAGAAATGGTTATTTGTCGTAGCGAACCATTTGAGGAATCTTCAAATCACTATGAAGATAGAGAGAAATTGGTATCCAAAGAGTTTTACATAAAAAGAAAAGAGGAGGTGCCAACACCAAGAAATGATGAGCCCCAAGGGAACATACCTCTCATGGATGAAGATATAAAAAGGCGCTTGGAAAAACTTAAAAATGAAATTTTATCGGCCACTAAATCAAATTTATTAAATAGCAGTAAAGAAGATTTTAGTATTGAAACAGCTTCAACCCTAAATGAAAAAGAAGTAGAAACAGTAGAAGACCTGGGGGTTACGCAAAAAGAGGAGCCGGTAAGAGAAACCCACATAGAGGCAAGGGATGAAAAAACTTCTCTTGTTAATCAAGAAATTTCTGATAATATTGAAAAGCCTG